TGCATGTTCGAGCAAATGTTCGAGAATTCTGTTTCAGTTCAAATAGTTTTGTGTATATCAAAGACGAAAGAACTGTTTTCCTAAAAATCTTGGTCATTTAAAATTCCGAATTAAACATTTTTATTTCATGTGAGAATTTGTGCGACGAGTGTAAAATTTTGAACTGGAGTTGAATAATTTTGGCGGTGTTCGTACGTCATACCATATTTGGAGTATGAAATTTGATAAGTCGAGTTAAAAATATATAAAGTCGAGCGTAAAAATTGCTTAATAACAGTAAAATTATAAAAAAGAGTTGAAAATTTGGAGTTCAACAGTCTAATACCGAATTTGGAGTGAAAAAAACGGAACGACGAATGTAAATTTCATAATATGAATTTTGGCGGGGATCGTACGCCATAACTGAAAGCTTCTCGGCAAAAATAGGCCTACATAAGCTTACAATAATCAATCGGGTTAAACACAGCAAAAATTCTATGTTTGAACCCTCCCTACTCGAATTTAACATCACAGAAAATTGTATAAGTTACAAAAATATTTTTTTGACCTTTATTATTGAACTTCCGATAAATTATCGTTCAAAGGACATCTTCAACTGAGAACCATACTTGTTTCAAGCATAGGTTTCATCAATTTATAAAGTCATCCAAGCCTGTAATTTTGTTGATTCGCTGTGTTTTTAAATCTCTCTCAATCGAGTTCTGCTGATATGGTCTTTGTTTCAGCGAAATCCCCACACTTCTTGGCAAAAAAATTCACACAGATTCTTGCTTAGTTTTCCCCATATTTTTGCAGTATTTTCAATATAGCATCATCTTTTTCTTGTTGTCGAAATATCAAAGCGAAAAGTCATCCTGTTATTCATAAAAACTGAGCCTCAAAACGCTTGACGAAAGTATAAATTGCTTTTCATCTTCGCAAATCGATTTCCCGGATGTGCAGACGCGTCGTACTTATGACAAAATTGGCGGGAATATTTCTGTGCTTTGATTTCGATCTCCTCAATGGATTTTTTTTCTGGTGATTACTTTTTCTAATGTTATCCATTTTGAATATAAGTGTTTTGGGAAAAAAATTCGATGTTTCAACAAATATTTTAGCGCTTTTGAAGTGTGGTTTTCATGTGGTGGTACACGGAATCCAGAAAGGAAGGAAACGTGCGTACGCGCGGGAACCCTGTGTCGGTACATGAAAAATTGACTCGATGGATAGACCATTTTTTCTTAGCTATGGTGCTCCACTCGCACGGGCCTTCGGCCCACGCGGGAGTTCCGCTTAAATGCATTTATATGTAAGTACTTTCATTGAGAGGTTTTTCATTTTGATTGCCAACGTCCTTTAAGTCAATTAGAAAATAAAAACAAAAAAAAACAACAACAAACAAACAAAAAAAAAACAACAACGTGAAATAGATATAACACTAATACATCTTAGTAAGCTCTTATTGCATTGTTTTCTTTTGATTGCCAGGATACCTCATGAACAATTAATGAGAATGAGAAGTTGGGATCCACCATCTTAGTTAAAAGTAAGCACTGAGGAAAATAGCTCAAAAAGATTGAGTTTGTAATTGTTGGTTTCCCCTATTTGAATAAATTACTTAAAACTACCCACCCCTCCCCTCAACGTTTTTGCTGTCAAAAATTATTATGTGATGTAGAGTCAGCAATGGGAACAAGGTCAAACAGGTAAAAAAAAAATCTCAATAAAACAAGAAATAGCTTTAAATAGAATATTAAGCTTTAAAATGAAAAATTAAGCATATTTTGCTTTTTTGAAAACTACTGGGTGATTGATTTGCGACCAGGCCTGCATATGAATTCGCCAAGTTTGTAAGCCAGTGAGCCCGTGCATTTTTGTTAAGCGGTCATAATTGAAAGTGTAAATAAAGGAAAGGGAAAACCCGCAGCTCTCCCTTCACTCAGATAAACAGTACAAGTCGTGTTAAATTTCTTTACATAACTAAACAAAATGATTATAGAATTAAACCTTTGAGAATTGAATGCTGATATGAAACATTTTCCATCTTGAATACACACGTGTTTTTCAGATGGGAATTTAGTCGAGCTTTTTTCACGATGGAATTTTGTTTTGAGTCGTTTACCATGGAATCAGTTCAAGTACTCCCGACTACTACGGGGAGTGTAGGAATTTGATAACGACTGAAAGACTTTGCCTTTGCATTGCTCCTGAAAATAAAACTGGCAGCGTAACTGGATTCCGTTGAAAACTTTCATAAAGCGTGCGAACGAGTACGAGTTTTCCCTGAGCTGTGTACGCCCGACCATCGGACTTGGCGGGCCCTTTGGGGATGTAGACAGTTGTACAATTTCCTACACTCCCCGTAAGGATTAACTCCGACGAACGATTAACGTCCGAAATGTCAGTAAGTTGTTTCAACTACTTTTTTACAATTGATACTTGTTGATTCTTCTAAAATTGATTTATTTTTTAACCGAGCTTTCGTTTTAAGCAGCCATTTTCAAGGTTGTTGTACACGTGATGATCTAATAAAACGTAGTTAACTGAAAGCGCTCGAGGAAACTGAACAATACGCCTCGCTCTGTTTACAAATGAAAGAAAGCATAAAAATATTATTAGGGCAAATGTGACAAATTAAATGGTTTTAAGTAATTGGATGAAGCTATCGGGCAGAGTTCTTCCAGTGTCCCTATTTGATATTATGTTGATCTTATTTGTTTTTGMTATCAACACTGCTTCCATCCACTTCCTTTGGTGCCACCTTGTCTCGTTTCTTAAGACGTAGGTGTCCTTCCAGTTTTACAGTTTTGAATTTATCTTTTTTAACGCAACTATAATCTAATGTGCCTAAAATGCAGCATTCCAGCTGCTGAAATATCATTCAGCACCCGTAAATTTCTGCTCTCATGCAGATGTATTGGTTCCATTCCATGACGATGATTCTGACTTGTTGGGCCACAACCTTTTCTCTAAGCGTGTTGGTGACTACAGTGTTGCGATCGGTATTCCCACCAAATACCTATATGTAAGTAAAGATTTTAAAATCAATAGGAAATTTGGACAAGTGTTTTGCAAAACTTTGGAGGGTGGCTATTTGGGAAATTTCGGGGAACACTATAGCACTCCTTGGGTAAACTATGTGATTTGCTCTTTGCTGAAACTTTTAGTGAAACTTCAGAGAACACTTTTGCGGAAACTTGATGAACACTCTTTGGGGATTCTTCAGCGAACATTGTTTTGGGAATCTTTGTCACCCGTAAAGCCCACAAATGACGCAAGTTAACACGTGTACGTCAGTATATTAAATTCATTTGTCGTCCACTACAACGAAAATGCCTCACCACAACAAGATAAAGTATCTGTTAGTGCAGGGCTGTATTACAAAAGGGGGAGGCTCACAGCGCGTTCATGAACACCATCTTCCTCTTCAACACCAATCTTGAGATGCTTAGACCTTGATTTTTGGTACTAAAATCTTTAACAATGAATACGATTTATGATTTTAAAATACTGGGGTTTACCTTAATAATACCGCTTTCACGATAATCCATCCACTGTGTATCCAACCGCTTGTAGGACAAACGATATTTCTTGACGTACTGATTAAAACCATAAGAAGGTCTTCCTTGGGTTGCAACTTGCTTTAACGAGACAGGACGACCCATATCGATCTGTAAGTACTCACCAGCTTGTTTGACTGCAGGACACCATACTGCAAGATTTTGAGTTCCATCGGGGTTCTTCGATTCCTGTTTGTGGAGACGAGCATTCCAGCTGCTATGTTTATTTGATAAAGTGGAGGATGCAGTGATTGCTGAGTTGGGAATTGCATTTGATTGCATACCGAGTGGCGTGGTGCAATCTAGGAAAAACAGAGAGATAGCAAGTGTTAAACTAAATTAAGCTGCCTCGGTGTATCTGCTAAATGATCACATGAAGTCGTATATTTCTTTTCCATATCAATCACCTTTGCATTCATAGTCCTTCCCATCATCCTTTGCCAAGCAAACATGGTTCGTACTGCAGTATAGATCACTACAAGCGTTCATTGGACGTTGATGGTTGACCACGTGAGTGTACACTCCATCTGAATCATGGGTAAGGTCAATAGGCCTTGTAAAGTGGGTTTCTTTGCTGAGCTCGCACTTGTGATGTTTAGGGTAGAAGTTAATGCTGTAGCATTCATTATGCGATGCACATTTCTCCTCGCAATAGATTTGTGTCTGTGATCGCAGCTCTTGAATCACGTGATTTTTAAGCACAAATGAATTCTGGGTAAATGTAGGCGAACATGGCGAATGTTCAGAAACTTCAGCTGTAAGCATCACTTGAAACGACGCAATAATCAAAATTTCTATCAGCATTTCAGGCGAATTCAGGATCAATATCTGAATTTGTGTAGATAACTAGAATTTTTGAAAAGGAGTCTTTTAGATTTGAATACTGCTTAGTGGCTAATGTATATTTTGATTACTGATAGCTGTCAATTGAAGATCTTTGTGGCAGCTAACTTAATATAAACTGCAATAAACATAATTTAAAAGTATTTGAAAGATTTGCGTTCTGTTTTAGCGAGAAAGAAGGAAAATAAAAATCATATTATGCATGATGAGCGCGATATAATGATATTATATCTTATATAGTTAATTACAGAACACAACTATGTAAATTTAATTAAAAAATAATAAATAAAAAATTAAGTCCAACTAACTAAACCAATTCAATCAACTTTTGTTGATTGAATTGTTTTTGTTTGAAATTTAATTTTCATGTCCAATAAATCATTCTAGTTAGAAAAAAAAACGTGGAATTGAAATCACGCATGGGGAAAGAAAACGAGAAACATATACAAAACACACAAACAAATAAAGGGAAATGTTGGGGATACGAAATTGTAGAGAATGTAATTTCATGCGTTATTCAACAGTGGCATTGTTTGTTTGTCATTTCAATCGCCAAAAGGAAAAATAGTTATTATAAGCGAAAAGCACAAAATTCTTTATAATTTTTATAAATAATTTTGTGCCTTTCTCTTATCATAACATTTTTTGTTTGTTTTGGCTAGTATAGTATAGACTGGTTTGTTTAAAAAAACATTGCAGTTAAACTTTACAAAATTTAAGTCTATGAAGTCTACAATATATTCACCTCCCTAAAAATTAAAAATATGCGAAAGAAAGCTAGTAGTACTTCAAGATGAAGAATTCGCGACCGCTCTTCAGCGCACAACTAATAGTGTTTCTAAGGCGCTCTAATTTAATGTTGATATATCCTAAATTTCCTCGATTTCCTTGGTAAAAGACGACAGTTTCCCTGCTAGTCTCTCTCGTTGTAAAATTCCTTATTTACTGAGGACAGAGTTTAACTCACCTTTAGATTTCTTTAGATGTTAAAGATCGGAACAAATTTGATAAATTGTATCTTGTATCATGGTGGACAGCCATCCACATAATCAGTTATGAAAATTAACGCTTTTAATTGTACCAATAACACCAGGATTCACAACAAAGCCAGATTATATGCATTTTTTATAGCGTTAATTTAAAACAGAATCTACAGAATCATATATATATATGTTTTTCATTATCTGCGCGACTGCAGGATCAATCAATTAACCATCACTGACATTTATTGGACATTATTATCACATACAATATCTCTTTCTTTACAACTTTTTGCATCTTAATAAAGAGCGAAAATATTTTTGGTCAATAGTAGTGTTATTTGCCATGAAAAAAGTATGAAGACTTCGTTTCTACATGCTTAACTCGATCAAACTGGATGGTAGCGCCAAATTTGAGCACACTTTGGCTCTTTAATCTCAGTCATTAACAATCCAGAAAACATAAACACCACTAACATGTATCTATACGTAAGGGACTGTGCAATAATTACCAGGAGGGGGAGGGGGGGGGATACGTAAAACCAGATTTCTTAAGCAGAAAATTAGTTAGAACCCCCCTCCGAAGCACAAGAAAATAGCTCTTACCCCCCTCTGCTATATTAGAAATAACGTCGAACCCCCCCCCCCCCCCCCTATTAACCTTAGTTTTAAAACAAGCACAAGCGAGTCGAGTCAACTGCTGTAGCAACGCAAAATTCACTAAAGACAAACCCAGATGCAAGAGGTGGCTCACTCATCTGGATCTAAGTGTAAAAACAAAAAAAAAGCAAATGTGGTGCCCTTGCTTCTTTCAAATAATTTTGTTCCTGGCAAAGGTTTTCAAGGTCCAAAATAGGCTTATGTAACGTTTTTATGGTCAAAAATGTCTTTGATATTACTTGTGCTTGTTATGTCTTATAAATCATCAATATATTTTTTAGCTTCTACATCTTCAATTTATTTGAAAACTACATCCTCAATTTATGTGACAAAATTGAAAAAATCAATAGTTGAAGCTCTAATTACATTGTTTTCTTTTGAGTGCCAGGATACCTCATGAATAATTAATGATATGACAAGTTGGGATCCGTCATCTTCGACCGCCATCTTTGATTTTTTTAAATCCCATTATAAAGTAAGCGCTGAGGAAAATCGCTCAAAAAGTATGAAACTCTTCTTAAAATAACATTTAATAAATAAAAAAGTGAGTTTGTAAGTGTAAGTCTCTCCTATTTGAAAAAAAAAAAAAAAAATAAATAAAATATTAAACACCCCTTCCCCCAAACCTTTTGTTGTCAAAAAATTTATTATGGTATTGTAGAGTCCAGTAATRGGAGCAAGGTCAAATACACAAAAAACAATATATATTACTTTTTTGAAAAACTATGTGTCAAAAACTGGTTGCCATCGCAACATGGATGGCCATATCAACATAGAAATCAAAATCTGCCCTGATAAATTTTAGGAAAAGTCCCAAAGTTTCAGAGCTGTAGCTGTCTTGCATGGTTCGAAAGTTATTGTCATTTTACTTGAGACCCCTCCCCCCCCCAGTCTGAATAGGGTACGTTATGACCTTCTAGAGTAGAGTGCCATTTCGCAATGAGACCTTTCAAGAATTATTGTTCCCTTCCCGCTTCACCCAGGGATTTGTAATGTAGCAGAGAAACACTTTTCCTGGTTTCATAGGCTTGTCTTTTATGCTTTTGTTTACTATGTTATTTCGAGCCGTGAAAACAAACCGATTAACAGAAACGTCTTGTCGCTTCGCGGCTCGATAGGATAGCAAGCAAAAGAATAAGAAGACAAGCCTCTGGAACCAAGGAAGCAACACTTCGCCCAATTCCACTCAAAGTGTGCTTGCTACAGCTTGTTGTGCATGTGTGCTGCAGTAGTAATCACCACTTATTTTCAAGTTTGGACTAAAGTGGTTCTCCAGGGTTCATATAAATCTTTACCCTAACACTGGTGTAGAAGCTCTAACCAGTGGGTCTTGTGACCCACGTTTGTTTTTGACCATTTAGGTGACAAATTTCTGGAGCATTGAGCAAAAACCAAAAAAAGCAATAATTTACCAATATAACAATAAGGAATATTTTGCGCACAACAGAGGCTAATACAGAGCATTAAAGAATTCGAAACTTTGAGATCCTTTGCATGATGATTTTCACGCATACCAAAATTTGTTATCTTTGAATTTGGACCAATCGGAAAATGCAAGGCATTATTTGCAAAACAAAAGAAACGTTCGCAAAGGTTCTTGGATGTGCGTGGTCCTTTGAAGTGCAACTGGACCCTTCTAGAAAGTCATTTCATTTGAAAGAGAACTTGCTGCTAAGCACTTCTGCAAAGGGGAAAAAAATTAAAAGTTATATCCTCTGATTTAGAACTATTTGAAAATCGGAAATGCAAATTAAGTAAAGTCTACTAAGGAATGATTTAATATGCAAAATCACGAAAAAAATACATTACTCTTTTTTTATATCGGACATGACATTTCCAGTTCTTGAATATCACTGTTATTGTTGATTTGAGCATTTCAACCGAACACAAGATATCGCAAATAATAAAAAACCTCCCAATTCCTCGATTGACGTCACTTCATTAGCATTTTCAATTTTTAAATGCCTTTAACTCAGAAAATAGAATTCAAACAATTTTTTTTTCTTCAAGACGATGATTAGAATCACATTTGCCTTAAAAAAAAAGAAAAAAACAAAAAAAAAACGATTTTCTAAAAGGGTTCTGTTGCACTTTAAAAGGTGAACTGAAATGAAGACTGAAAGAAAAATCTCACCACAAACCCACCAACGAGCTCAAGAGTCAAAACTAATATTTATATTTCACTTTAATTGGTCTTTATTCAATTTTTTATATTTACAATATAATACTTGTAGAAATAGCATTCAACCAGTCTACTTTAATGCGTCGCACGACCGGTCGACCACAGGTGCTTTGCATTTATGCGCCTCGTGAAGAAATAGAACGGATTTCGTATGAGTGGGACACCGTTACCGCACGGTTACCGGACCTGGCCTGCACAATTTTGGTGAACCAAAGGGGCACTAGAATTTGGTTACAGTACGATTACGGTCACAGTACAGTACCGTCCGTTTCCCACTCATACGAAATCCGCTCTATCACACTCCTTTCGCACGGACACAGTAAACAACTAGACTGTGAATGTCTATACAGTGGAACCTCAACAATACGACCACTGAAGGAACATCGAAAAGTGGCCGCACTAACTGGTGGTACTTTTAACACGTAAAGTGGGGTTCCACTGTACATTTATACATGTCCTGTCCACACGAAAACGTTGTATTGAAACCAAGTGATCGTAAACGCTTTCGAGGACTCGACCTTTCAATCCAGGTCTCAGTGTGAACAGTAGCTAAAGTAAAAACAGTCTTTCACGGGTTAAATGCCATCTACAAGTACACACACTCATTTCAGGGCACTCGACTGCTCATAAACCTCGCTATTCGATTCACATACGAAGAACTATTGATTGGCCAAAACCAAATCCAAAGTCCATCGTTTCTAACCAAGAAGGACTAACGTTTGCCATAAAGTTATGTCACGATGAAAAGGCGAACCTTCAAGGGGAAAGACACCGCTTCATACCTAATCTCTGCAAGTACTGTGGAATTCAATAGTGGTAAAACTTCGTTTCAAAACGTTGGTACACAAAACAAGTGATAATGTGGTATAAAGTCGATCGATAATAATTCCCCACTTTATTGATTTTTCACAGAGACCTTGCTTAGCACAAATCTAGCATGCATATCCAGGCGTTCCTTGTTGTTCCGTGAGAGTTTGGGTTTCTACGACCCAAAATCTCTCGGAGCAACTAGGAACGCCTGCCTACGCTGGCTACACAAATCTTCTGATAAGCCCTCACAGCTTTTCCTGTGATGATCTACTTATATAACCAATACCAATCTGAACGTTATCTAAATTTGTCCTCACTGATAAAAAGTGGTCAGATAACAGAGATCGCTGAGCAGTTATGTGCCATAAACATTAATTCATAGATTTATTTACAATATCGCAAAATGTACAACTGAATTTAGAACTATTGTTATATTCAATATGCCGGTCCTAATAACATAGGTACCAAACTATGCTTGCCTTACAATGTTCTATAGGTACCAATATGTGCAAGTCCTACTTTGTGCTATAGGTACCAATATGTGCTAGTCCTACTTTGTGCTATAGGTACCAATATGTGCTAATCCTACTATGTGCTACAGGTACCAATTTTTGATAGTCCTACTTTGTGCTATAGGTACCAAAATGTGCTAGTCCTACATTGTGCTGTAGGTACCAATATGTGCTAGTCCTACTTTGTGCTATAGGTACCAATATGTGCTAGTCCTACTTTGTGCTATAGGTACCATGCAATATGTGCTAGTCGCATTATGTTCTCAAGGTACCAAACTACGCTATTCCTACTATGTTCTATAGGTACCAATATGTACTAGTCCTGCTATGTGCTATAGGTACAAATGTGTGTGCTAGTCCGGCTAGTCCTATACTATATCCTAATATAGGCAATCTGTGATGGTTCTACTATATTCTATAGGTACTAATCTGAGCTAGTACTACTAAATTCTACAGGTACTGGCCTGTGCTAGCCCTCATAGGTACCTGAATTTATGTTAGTCCTAATATTCTATAGGTACCAATGTGCGCCAATAATTTATGGTGCCTGTAGTTTAATCTTTAGTGAAAGCACTAAATCCGTGAAATTGAACTAAATCAAAATAGCACTAGTTTGCACTAATTCCGTGAAATTGAACTAAATCAAAATAGCATTAGTTTGCACTAATTCCGCGAATAAAACAGAACCTAAAATGACCATTTCTCTTTATGAACGACATTTACTCAAATTGAGCTCAAACGAGTTCATCTTAAATTCACGGATTTCTTGCGTTCACTGTACTCTCTGTGCTACTGACATCTTCTACTGACACCAATCAATGGACATCCAAGTTAATTTGTTGCTACAATAATGTGCAAGTCTTAATATTAAACAGCCAATTATGCCATAGGCCGCCCAACTATTACATTAAAGACAGAAAAGAACGAATGCGCACGCTATGTATATGCTATCAGCGCGTGATCTTATAAAAATTCGGGTTACCTGTGGTGTTACGTCACGATCCCGCGCCTCGCGAGTACATACTAAAATCTGTGACAAATTAGTAGTCCCGCGAGGCGCGAGATCGTGACGTAACACCACAGGTAACCCGAATTTTTCTAAGAGCACGCGCTGATAGCATATACATAGCGTGCGCATTCGTTCTTTTCTGTCTCTAATGCAATAGTTGGGCGGCCTATCATTATGCGAGTTCTAAAATTTCATAGGTATACCAACTTAGTTAATCCTGCTCGCAGACAGTTGTTTATAAGGAATATTATTCAAACACATGCCAATCTTAAAGGTTATAAGGACAAGCGAAATTCGAATTTACTTTGTAAAATGTTTTGTTTTATATGTTTATTGAAAATAAAGTAATTAAGAGTTCCTTATTTAGAAAAATAAACGGTATTATATACAAAATATGCAACAGATTTGCGGAATACATGTACAAACGAGCATGCGCATAGGGAACTTTGAAAAAAGGCTAATGACATTGAATTGAAACCGCGAAACAAAATCTAATATTCGAAGAGTAATAGTCACAAAGACACAAAGCAAAACAATATAGATAGCGATTACGAAAGTGTATTGCCCATTCTGAAATTCAAAAAGGGACTGGTGACTAGTCACAAACTCGATAGCGTTTGAAGCAATTAATAAACTGAAAACCAGGTAGAAAGAGCATACTAAAATTAGTGAAGTTCCTGAGTTTGAGTGTATTCGGATTAATAATCACAGAGTTGCAAGCCTTTAAAACTCGAAAAAATTACAAAGAATGTATGGAGCTCTTGATCAGCGTCCCCAAAAACCATACATTCTCTCTTATTTTTTACAATCTTTTACAAAAGTTCTTACTCGGTCAGTATTTACCTAAATAGTCCCAAACTTGGCAAGAACACTAATATTAGTGTGGTCTTTCATGTGTTTAGATTTAATTTTCGATAGGTGGACTCAGAATGGCCAATTTATCTAATATTTATTTCACAGCTGGTTTAGAGTTCTGTAAACCTGTCGCGAAAAGTTTGCGAACTACACTTTATTATCGTTCATTTTGCACGTTTTTCTCTGCCTTTTCGGTTAATCACACCTTTTTTTACACGTTTTACGGGATTATGAAAAACACTACACCGAAAGACAAAGAAAAACGCTCAGAATCAACATGTTAATTTAAATTTTGCGTAGTCACTGTATCGATACGACTTCATCTTGGCCTTTGCTTTTCTAGATATATATACAGCGAAGAAACTAAGCACACTTAAACACACACTAAAAAAAATTAACCAAAAAATATTAAAAAAGAAGACTAAATCGAATTTGAAAAACACCATCTATGCAGACAAAACTCACTCGAATATACGCACTTTATAGAAAAAAATGGTTTTATCTACTAAATCTAAAATGAAAAATAAATAAACATAAGCCAAATGAATTCTGAAATAATTTAACACACATTAGTCACACACGAACACACTTTCAATATATTGAGAATAATGAGCACTAGTAATGAGCACTAGTATATTTCAACGACGAAAAAAAAGTAGAGAAAGAAAACGAATCAACAATTTTAGCTTGCTGGACGAGTAATCTATTCTAATTGGACAAAAAGGAATACTGTTTGTGCAGGGCTACTACTAATAAAAAAATCCTTATTTAACTTGATTTTCTGAAATTTTTTCTGAAAAAACTGTCTCAGTTCATGGTTATTATCAATAGGATATTAGGCGCAAAGAAGATGCTTGCATTCCATAACGATGAAACGTTCCAGAGAGACATACTTTGCACAGTGCAAAAATGTTGCACAATTTGGAATAGATCATTCTGAAAGGAATCAATGATCAATTATTAAATTTTCTTTCAATTAACGACCGCTTCATCTGAAAGGAATTAATGATCACTGATCAAACGTTCTTTTCACAAACGTTTTATCAATTTGTAATGTACAATTATCTATTGTAAAGAATCAACGATAAAACATTCTATCAATTTAAGATAAATTTGCAAGTACTTTGCATAGAAGTTAATATTTTGAAAACGAACAATTATTTATCAATGATCAAACGTTCTATCATGTATACTGTGACTAATAATCCAAGTATTGCTAATTATTTAACGAACAATTATTGTATTTAATATTACATATATCCTTATCTATATTTCATTTTCCTAATTTATTTGGAATTAATATCACAATGTGCAACGACGCCTTTTTGTACAGCAAAGCATGATGGTAGTTGCAGTCCTCGCACTTTCAAGTGCACCGTAAAAAACCCGCTTCCTAAGTCGCTTTTTTTATTCTCTTTGTGGAAACGGCACAGCGTTCTCTTCTTTATATTTCATGTATGAATTATTTAGTTAGTTATTTCCATAGATAATAAACGGCTTAAAAGGACTGTTTTTGCGGACCTGAAGAAAATGTGAGGACTACAACTCCCATAATGCTTTTCTGCACAAAATGGCGTCGATTCACATTTCCTATTGAATAGAATTGAAGCCTTACTTTAATTCACATCAAGTATTTCCCCTGCATATTATGCCAAGGAAACCAACAGAGAGAGTTGACAATTCAAGGAAAAAAGCTCGAAAACCCCAGTTTCACAACACATGCCAATTGATGGTTTGGGAATTGTCTGCCGGAGATTTTGAAGAAATTAATTATTATGATTTTAACATTTGCCATGAGTTTGATGAGAGACGTAAGTAATTCACGTTTACTTGAAAACACATCAAATATAATGTAAGGATACCAATATCAGTGCCATAACTTACTTAGGATGCTTGAACAGCACTCTTTTTAAAGTAATACGATAGATATTGGACTCACTTCTAATAATTATAATTTACCATTAAAGATCCACGTTCAACCGAGAACCTTTGCGCGATTCGTCACATACGAAAAAACGCCATCTTGAATTTTGAACCAACCGAAAAGTAACGTTCTACCACAAAACCTTTTTTTAAAAACAAAGCAAACGATCGCAAAGGTTCTCGGGTGAAAATGGGTCTTTAACAATCGTCATCAGTACGTGTGCGTTTTATCCATCAAATTCCTTTTTTTTTTCATGTTTTGGTAGGAAGTTGAATTGCTTACGATGGACTTGGCTGGTCACTTCGTCAGCAAACAAGGCCTAACTAAAGAGAGAAAACTCCAAGTTTCTCGAATAAAACCGAAAGTGCCAAAAATATAGACGGAATGTCTTGCGCGAGGTAGACTGAATCTCAATATAAAGGAGACATTGTTTCCTTTTCATAAACCGATCAGTCTTCTTAAAACTTTACTCTTGTTCAGTTCATCTTTTCATTTTCTTTATTATTTTCATGGAAAATTAGAGTCACTTTGACATTTTTTTTTCGACTATAATTATTTTTACTGAAAGAACCACTGATTTTCCAGAAGAAATCAAGGAATCAAATTAAATAAAATCACGTACACACTGAAGACGATTTGTAAACAGGCAAATATTACTTGTCATCGTCCTTTGATGAAGGCGATTCCGAGGGAGAGCTGTTATCAGAAGTTCCACTTCGATTCTCGGGTTTGGTCTCAATTTTCTGTAGAGGATTTCCAAGTAACAGCTCAGGCGAGAGCGCGCGCCGTAGAAGGGGCGACCCTGGCCGCGGTACAGTCGACTGACTTATTGTTGTAAACTGTGGTGAATTGGAAGCTCTTCGCAGTGTTAACGGAGATGAACTCCGAGGAGGATGGGTAGATGTAGGGGAGGGTGTCCTTGCCAGGGGGGACACGGGCACATGTGTTGATGATTTTCGCCGTGGAGAATGGTTTGTGCGCAGTTTTGGTAACAATCCATGTAAAGACGCTGTAAACAAATTGAAAAAACCCGTTGAGTTTCCGACACTTTTTTCGACAGTACTTCGGTTGTCCTTCTCCCTTAGACTTATACTAAGCATGGTACAGCCTTTTGCAAAAATTATGAGAATTGTTGAAATATCTAAATATCATAATATCGAGTGCATGATGGGTAATCCCGCGCGATGCCCTTAGTCCCTTGTCTTTGTAGTTTAGTTTTTTTTTTTTTTGGCGACAGACTTATCCGTAGTTCTGAACATTTTCTCGATGTCAACAATGAATTATTCTAGCAAACCCTCGTGTTCCAGACAATATATGGATATGGATATTATGATATTTAGATATTTAGACAATTCTCATAATTTTTGCAAAAGGCTGTATCAATATAAATAAACAAATAACCAATAGGTTTTCGATATCATCGTCGGTACAGCATCGGCAAGCGTTCGGTAGTTCTGCCTTCGGTAGATAGAATGTATTCACTATTTAACTGAAATTGTTTGCTTCTTGCTATTTATCTTCAACAGTTTAATCCCCCCTAAATTCACCCGACAATTTCCTGTTAGTTCGGAAAATATCGGGACTAGTTCGTAAGTTAGCACTAAATTCCGAACGGATCTTATTTCAGAGTTTCACTTAAAAAATCAACCAATGAAATTCTTATTGAATTAATGAGAGTGATTTCCTAATCATAACTCACCTGGCCTTCCTAATGACAGAGCCGTCGGAGAGCTTGGTGACGAAGGTCCACTACTCAAAGATGACGACGAAGAATTATCCGATACGTTCCGAAAATCAAACGACGGCGAGGCGAGTTTTGGCGAAATTGGTCGAGCAACTTTACCTTCTATAGATGCCATCTTTTTTAAAGAACTGCTTCTCCTTAAACCTGCTGTGTGACTACGACGTCGTCCAAAACGTTTCCAAAATGGTCGGTGTTTGGGGGTTTTCTCAACCTCGGGTGTTGAGGGAAGGTTGGTCGGTGAGGACGTGTTTTTTCTAGTTCTTCTTGTCCGTTTTCGCACTCGTTTAATGGCGGATGGGAGCCGTCGGCGACCTCCAGTTTTGATAGATGTCTTGGAGAGTTCTGTAGCGTTAAGCTTGACTTTATTACCCCCTCCAAGCACTAGTTCAACGACTTGACGATGAGTGAGACCCGTTACGGACTACAGAAAAATGGATATTTAGCCAGTCAATGAAATATCATGTATTTCACGGTTCACAAGGCTATTGACCTGTAGAATCTACCAAACTGTGAGCTACCAAAAATCCAACATTATGATTGGCTACTGAACTAAGTCCTACTCATGTAAGACCATGGTATTGGTAGCATCGAAAGAAGCAAAAATAGTCGAAAAAATTGCGGTCATTTGTCAAATTTGTTGCATAGTTTGGTGGATACCAAAACAATTAGACCACTCCATCTCGTGAACTACGAGTTGATAGTCCATTCGTACAAATAAGTATGTCGTCATCGACTACCACCTCGTAATCCACTACACATCATTGTAATTGTTAAAAGTCAGTAATGGCGACTACCGTTTGGTGATTTCCCAGCTGGAAGACGTTTAAAACGACCCTATTGTAACTTCTCTTTTTCACTATTTATCCAACATGGCGGCCATGGGTTCCAATCTTGTAATTGAAAATCAAGAATTGCGCACTGCATACTAGTGGTATAGGAATGGGAGTTCTGAGACCAGGGCCTCAGGACTCCCATCTTATACTACTCATAATATATTACCTCGTCATTAACATGTGTTAGGAGATCGCCTGGACGAAGCCCTGCTTCAAAGGCGGCACTACCATGATCAACACCCTGGTAAATATAATACACTTATGAACATTGGGTAAGAGTAATGGCACGACGTAGATAACCCAAGTATTATCCACATTCCTCATGTGCAAGAGGGAATAGGCCTCTGGGAACAATTGGCCGATAACAAAAGGAAAAAGGGACTGGTTCCGGACTTCAAAATCTAATTACAAAATGGTTCCAGAAATAATAATGTGAAAGAGGACCATACAAAAGGCTTACTGACTAAGTCTCATGATGTTTGAACTTATAGAAATTAAGTTACGGACACTCAAACCATCCCAAAATTACAAAGAAATGCATGGTGTCCGGCCAAAGCGTCCAGCCAAACATACATTTTTTGTAATTTTAGAACTTTTTGAAAATTTCTATTTCCATTTCTAATGTCTTAAACTTGCTCAAACTTTAAACTTTAGTTAATTTATAAGTGCTTTATCTATCAACAACAGATTTCTGTAAGATTGTATCTTGGCCAATTGCAATTTATACAATGAATTTTACTCTTTTGTAGAAGAATAAGATTACCGAGACAAGGTGATGCACTGTGAAGTAGTTTGTATCTCCATAGTAAACACGAATAGCTTGGAGAGTAAATCCATATCCACGAGGTCCCTTCTCAATCATAATAGGTGGTCGTAGACACATTGATAACGTACTAGTACGTCGTCTCCGGGGGGACGCAGGGGGCGTAGAATCGTACCGTGGGGATGTTGGTGGGCTGTCTGATGCTGCAATCAAATCGCTATCTGAAAAGGGAAGTCGACGAAAAATCACTTAACATTGACACTTGTGTATACAAAATGACCAACAAAATACAAACTAGAAACAGCAGCAGCAGCAACAACAACGAATACAACGACGACAACAAAACAACAACAGCAACAACAGCAACAACAACAACAACAACAACAACATCAACAACAACAACAACAACAACAACAACAACGAAGACAACAAACAACATCATTGACAACCACAATGAATAACAACACGAAACTAGATAAATCCTCGACCCAAACAAGTTACTGAAAGCAAGTCCCTATCGCATGTATCCGCTATTGCAGACATAGACCTTTTCTGAAATATAAAATCATAGTGCATTGTGGTCTAGCTACAGCACAAAAAACGCCATATTTGTAAGGATGAACAAAAGATGTTTTTTTTTGTGACGAACCTAGACCACAATGCAATGCAAACTGCTGTCTCAGAAAAGGCCTATGTTTTGAAAATGTTCGTTATAAAGACAGAACCAATTTCAAGAAATACAGTCAACTCTCGTGATTCAAAATTCATGCCCGTAATAATAAAATTCTATAATAATAAATAATATTATTATATAGCGAGGATGTAACATACGATTTTTATCATTAAAAATCATCATTTTTTAATTATCATTTTTCTCTCTTTTTGTAGTTGTACTGTATAAAAAATAAAGGATATTACATGGCCGCGCGGAGATACGGATTTTATCTTCGAGTGTTGAAAAGATCTCTCACGAGTGAGCGTAGCGATTTTCAACACGAGAAGATAAAATTTGTATCTCCAAGCGACCATGTAATATTCTGTTTATCATATAATTAGATATGAAAGCAAATTATGTCGTAAAATACCTTTTTTCTTACTTCCACTATATAGAAAAACATCGAATGTGTTATTTTCAGTAGTGAAAATATCAATTTTGCGTAATGGAGAAATATAGGTATTTCATAGATAATTATATGATAAAGAGTCTTCTTTCTTGTCAAAGTTTCTCAGACTTTCCTTTTTTCCACAGTTTATTTTGAATGACGAGCAAAGTACGAATGAAAACATATTTTTATGTCTTATTCTCTACGCGTTTTGGCCATAACTTCCTGTACGGCTCGAGCAAGCGAGTTAATAAGATATTTCTAAATAAAAAGAAAAATTCACACTAGTCGACTGCAATCTACTTACTTGGTAATTCTAGTTTAGGTATAGGTTTCGATCGTGGCGGTAGAGATTGTGTACGATGTAACGCTACTCTTAGCTCTACGGGCCTGTGTTCCTTGGGAGATATTTCGTGACGATTGTCTGCGTTTGTGCCGTCCATAGACATCGTCGTTAGTAAAGGAGTGAATCTTGTTCCTGTGGCTTTCTTACGTAACCTGACGGTGGGTGGGGTAGGGGGAGATTCTGGAGAACTTGTGTGTGCCGGGGGTGTACTAAAAAAGTGAACAATCGTTAATAGAATAGACTTCAATTTACAATGTCAATAGAGCTAATCGGCTTCAACCCAATTCAAACCACCCGGGAGTAAGTTTCATTGTTAATTGTATTTTCATTTCACAGTTGAATTCTTAGAAACAAACGTTCTTTTTCCCACAGGATTTTCATTGGGTGGCAACGTACATATAGCAACGCCGTTAGCCGATTAGGTCTATTAAGCTACAATCATGGCCGATAAAAAGGTTGACAAGATAGGCAGCACTTAGCTCATTTCATCAAACGCTAGTTCCACCCCCTCCCCCATAACACTGTTGCTAGCACCTAGCAAGTATCTGTGATCTTTGGGTGTTCTTGTACATGAACATCAAGACACTGGGTCAGCTGATGTCACTGCTTTGATTTGAAGTTAAAAACTGTGAAACGTCCACTATTCTGATAGCCTGCGAACATCCGGTTTATTCTCTAAAATGAGTTAAGAATAAACACTGGATGGAACTCAGGATGCTATTCTAACTAATATAAAGATAATATTCGAGCGGTTCGATGTCGGAGTAATATAATACAGCACTTATAAAATGCAGTACGTACTCAAAGGCTAAAGGCGACACAGCATGTCTACCACATTCCGCATCTGAGCTACTTTCACTACGTGGTCGTAATCTTCGCAAAGAAACTTCCTCGTAACCAGCTCCAGCATCCATATCTTCGGTTAACCGATGCCGTCTTACCATTGGCGGCGAGCTGTCAGATCTCTTACGTTCAAACGGTGGAGATTCTCCTTTAAGTGTCTGGTGCATCCCCCTGGGGCTGACAGAGTCAGGCGAGGGGGGAGGGACGGGAGAAGCTAGGATTCTCGAGTACCGGGGGGAGCAGGTTGAGAAGTGGTTGAAGTCAGGGATGTCATCATAGTCTTCCTCGTCATCGTCTGTTTCGAAACTGTGGTTGTAGCGATCAGATCGAGCTGAAGAAAAAAAACACACCACCTCATTGTAATCATGCCGGACAATCATTTCATAAGTATCATAACTAACGTCTGTCAGTATTTTGAGTGATACACGAACTTAACCCGTGAAACATGCTTGTACAAAAGCATGCAAAACTCAGCAACTATACTCAGCAACCATAACTGCGATGCCATTTTATGTTAGACAAAGAAAATACTTACTATCAAAGTAGCTTGTATCATCCTCGCCTTCTAATTGTGGTATAAACTCGGCTTTTTGTCTTAGTAATGCTGTCCAGTTAACACCCTCGAAGAATCGATGTTCCTTTACCTCTATAGCACCTAATAATTCATTTATAATATATATCTCAGTCAAGATTTTCAAGATCATAGTTTACAGGGTTCATACAGATTTTGTTATACAAAATGGAAAGACTTTTCAAGGACTTTTAATACTAAACCTTTGTCTTAGAGGACAAACACTAAACTATTGCACACATTTAATGTTTTTACTCTACCAAACACAACAATAAAAACATGTCAATTTTGTTTAAGAACTTTGTCTTTTGGAGAAGATTTTCCCTATAATCTCTATTTAATTTATTGGCAGCCATATTGAACAATAGTACAAGAGATATAGCAGAAAGTATTAAATTCTTATTATTTTCTTCAAAGCTTGGCTAAACTGATCCCTAAAACATTACTTTATAACAACCAAGACTGATTCAAGGACTAAAATATTATTTTCAAGCACCTTTCCTCTAAATTCAAGACTTTTCAAGGAAAATTTGCAATCAGGGACTTTTCAAGGACCTACATTGTAGCTCAAAAATCAAGGACTTTTTCAAGACTGTACGAACCCTGGTTTATAATCAGTTTGTAAAATTGTTACAAGTTTAACTGTCGAGTTTTCAATCCTTGTCAGGACAATGGAATGAAAGAAACGGGAATAAATGCATCATAATTATACATAATGAACAGGGGAAAATGAGGGTTTTTTCGTGTTCGCGAAAATGTTACGTTATAAACAGTCATAGGATAAGATAACAAAAAAGGCGGGAAAATATAAAAAGTGTCGACGCGCGCGCGCGCTGGATACTGAACACGACTCACCAGCCAATCGCAGCATTCACGCTATGCAAATCTATCATTAATTATTTTTTGACTTCAAGGAAACTACTACCACACTGTTTACATCAATTTTGAATTTAGTAGTTACATACCGACAGTTCCAAGTCTGACAGTAGGGTCTTGTTCAAGAAATCTCTTTATCAAGTCTTGAGCGTCTTCTGGGATGGTATCTTCGCCTTCTGGCCAGTCAATCTCACCTAAAATTTGATTTGGTAAATAAAGACAATTGGGAAACAAACAAAACGCCTATTTTTCTAGCTTCTCTTATACGCTCATTCCTACATTGTGTTTACATCATAGAGCAGAGACGCAATGGACCATTTATTAAGGATAACCGCACGTAGGCACTTCGATACGCGCCCAAATTTTGGCGCAAACCGGAACTAAAATTTCACTTCCGATTGACGTCGGCGCCTGAAAAGTTACTGATGCTTAAGTTCTCTATTAATATATCTGCGGTGCATAGAAATTCAATTTCAAGACTTTTTTACTATAAATACATACATGTATAACAAAGCTTCAAAAATTATCTAATTACCACTCAGTGTGTTTGCAAAAAGCTCCTCAGGGGTCTCCCCATAGAACGGCGGTACACCAACAAGAAACTCATACAAAATAATGCCCATAGACCACCAGTCCACCGCCCGACCATAACCTTGTCGAAGGATGACTTCGGGTGCTAGGTAGTCTGGGGTACCAAACACCTGCTGGTCTGTAAATTGATGAATGTCGTGGTCCATGGAATGTTCATACATCCGCGTGGTTGCTGGAAAGACGAACGACAGGGAGTTATAGAGTTTATAGTACACTCAATTATAGGTCGTCGTAGTGTTTTGAAAGTTCTCAAATTACGAAGAACCTTCAAAGAATTACTCGTGACTATTAATTTCACATTGTACCCAAGGTCGTGCGACTTCCTATACTAAGAGTTTAAAAGAAGTAGTGAGAGAAGTCTTGTTCATCAATGTAAAAAGGAATATGCAAGCTGTCTCTACTGGCATAAAAGCTGACTATGCACCTTTGAATCTCATGAAATATAAAAACTATGTTCAATTGTAACTTCTTTAAAAAAAAGGTACTAATAAAGTTTGATTGATCGATTAATTGATTGTTCCTAAGAAAGCATTTGGAAGGGAAACTGAAAATTTGCATCATACCACAGGAATACCGAGCAACGAGCAAGACTTGGAGCAAGTTAAACGACTCTAATGCTATACTTACAGTTCATAAGTCCTATTTTAGATAAACCAAAGTCCGTGAGTTTGATGTGGCCAAGGGAAGTTATCAGTAAACTATTGAAAAAAAACATGATGGTTAGTACAGGCAACTATGCAGCTCTTTGTAATAAAACACCCATATAGTATGTGATAACATTGGTCAATGAGCCAAATTATTGGACCAATTAAATTGCACGTAAAATGAATTTATAAAGCACCGATATAATGTGTTTTAACATTGGTCAATAAGTCAAAGTATTGGACCAATTAAATTGCAAGTAAAAATGAATCGATAAAGCACCGATATAATGTGTGTTGTCATTGGTCAGAGTCAAAGTATTGGACCAATTAAATTTCAAGTAAAATGAATTTATAAAGCCCCGATATAATGCGTGTTATCATTGGTCGGGAAAGCAAGCTGTTGGACCAATTAGAGTGCATGTAAGAATGAATCTACAGAATAAGTATTACAAAAAGAAACGAAATCTGTTACTTACTTGTCTGGTTTGACGTCTCTGTGTACAATGCCATAACTATGTAGATACTCTACAGCGAGTACTGTCTCAGCAAAATACATGCTAATGAGAAAATACCGCTATTATTACACCCTTTATCATATAATTATCTATGAAATACCTATATTTAATTGATATTTTCACTATTAAACATTCAAGGTTTTTTATGGTGGAAGTAAGAAAAAAAACATTACGACCGATAATTTGCTTTCATATGTAATTATATGATGTGGAGGCAGCCTCCGTTGCTGAACTAGCTATCTGCAAGGCCAACCGTGAGGATTGGCGAGCCAGGCGTGCTACTCGGCTCCGGCCGCCATGATGATGATGATGATGATATGATAAACAGAATATTGCATGGTCGCTTAGAGATACGAATTTTATCTTCTCGTTTTGAAAATCTCTCACGAGTGAGCCTCGAAGATAAAATCCGTATCTCCGCGTGTCCATGTAATATCCTCTATTTCTCCATTTCGTAAAGTTCTTATTTTCACTAGTGAAAATAACACATTCAAGGTTTCTCTATATAGTGGAAGAAAAAAGCTACCTTTCATTTGTAATTACATGACAAACAGAATATGACATGGTCACTTGGAGATACGAATATTATTTTCTCGTTTTGAAAATCTTTTCAACACTCGAAGATAAAATCCGTATCTCCGCGCACCCTTGCAATATCCTCTATATCCATTATGTCAGCCTTTATAATTGCAAAAAAATCAACGTTCTCAGTCATTGACCTCATCTAGTATGTAAGACACAGGAATTGTACATGTAGGGCTGTAGGTCTCTCTGATCAAAAAATGGGCAATGATTGTCGAAAATGTTAAAATTGTCCAAGAAAAGAAACATGAGCTTTGTGTCGATAAACGTGTCAGCGATAAAAATATATCAGAGAATCAATTAAAAACGTATTCAAAGATTCTGTTTCTCGACAAAGATGAAGAACTTAAATCCAAAGACGAACCACAAATTTCTGCCAAAATTAGGTTCAAGGGCCATAGTCCATAGCCATCCCTTTCCAGTCGTTGTTTGTTTTTTGTAATGTATCGTAATAAGCAAAAACTTACTCTATTTTATCCTTTCATGCTTTTTGAATAGTGATATTGTAAGATTCTACATTAAACCGACGGATGAAAACGGATTTTCCATACATAAAAAATCTAAAACACGACCGCATTGAATGCTGATGGTGGGTGTCCCTTTAAGTATAGCACCCTGTCAAATGAAATAATTCTGCTTACCTTGCTAGATCTACTGGTAGAGTACCAATATTCTTTAACAGGGAAGCACAATCTCCACCTTCAACGTATTCCATCACCATACATAGATGTTTCTACATTAAAAGCAAACAGCATAAAAAATATTTTATTTGTAGCATTTTATACAGGAACGAACCCAATATTCACTACTCAGTGAGAATGTAAAGACACTGAGAACAACTTGATTATTGGTGAGACGAGCTTCTTTTATAGGGAAATGAGAACGAAGAAAAAATACACAGGGAACCCATAAACAGAGAACATCCTTGCGAAGGAGGTGTGACCAAAATAACCTACTCTAGCGTCCTCCACAGGCATCACTAAGAATCAAGGGCTTCCTGCTTTTTTGAGAGTCAAAAGAGGGAGCACTGGAGCGAGAGAGACGAGGCGTGTGATTCCAACTCCTCCTCTTCTTTCCTTTCTCGTCACTAGTCCATACCAGCCAAGATGGCTGTTACAAAGGAAGCCCAAAGGAGTAAAAAAGAATTGCCTGGGGAGGAGGCTAAACCTACACTTTGTTTACAATAACGTGACGGCGACCATCTTGGTTGAACTTCAACAAAGGATTTCTCATTAGTTTCCAATTCACTAGGTTTTCTTTGTTATTCATAGGGTTGWATAYAMCWYDSAAACTTAAAGCCGGGGAGGGATTTGATATTCAGCAGGGAAATGTGGGGTTGATGAATTGAATTGAATAGCTCGTTATAAATTCAGCGGGCTATATATGAGTGACCGGAATCACTCATATATAGCCCGCTGAATTTATAACGAGTTATTCAATTCAATTCATCAACCCAAAATTTCCCTACTGAACATCAAATAAACTAAGTAAACTAAACTATTTTTCCCCTAAAAAAGACCAGTGCGGCCAGCAAAACTTGAGGAGATTTAGAGTGTAATAAGTTCGAGTCCCGCAGCTTTTCTTCATATGTTCATCAGAGAATAGAGACAACAATAACCAAGATCTTCGCCGTTACTTTTAAAAGAATCTATTCTTCGGAATTAACCAACGTGTATGAATCAGAAGTAATCGGTGTGACTTGGTCCATTCTATCCAAGCACGTACACACGGCCATTTGGTACTTTAGTTTGTTTCTTCTTGAATCCTTYCCTCGTAGTTTTTCGAGCGAGTTCAACATCAAAAACTATTGTAWTTKTTCTCATTTTTTCCCATCTGCAGACTTTGTCATCGTTATTTGCGGGAAGAAGCATGCGGAGTTCCAAATCCGATAGCAAATCGTCAATATCAAAGTTCGTCAAAGGAATGATGTCAAACGTATTTTGAGCTATACACAAATCGTCGTCACTGTTCGACATCGTTTCCAGAATGACTGCTAAGAATATTTGATAACAATATTCAAATTCCGATTGCTCGCTTTCGCATGAACAGGTTTTCTTAAAGGAAACTAAATTCAACAGTCCATGAAAAAGTCTCAAGAGAAGAGGATTCTATTGTTCGAAACCCAACTAAGAAAACATTCATTAAGTCTATTCAGTTTTTGCGAAAACCACGTGAATTGAAAACTAAGTTTGTTAGTTACCTCGCACGTCGGCATTACGCTATDTACWGVMMTCGGGCCTGCGGCCCTCGGGCTGTATATAGCGTAATGCCTCCGTTCTCGGTAACTAACTCTTACTTAGTGTTTATTCTTCACATTGAACCAACATGGCCGCCGGTCTAGTCTTTTGAATCTCATGGGAATGATTGAAAACGAGCAATATATATAATTTGTTATTTTAGCAGTCTATTAAGTGATATTTTTACCTTGGTTTCAAAACAACACCATAGCCCTACAACAAATGGGTTTTCAGCAAATGTTAAGATGTCTCGTTCAGCGAAGACTTGTTCCACTTGGTTCTTCAACATCATGACATGCTTACTGATCTTCTTCATGGCAAAACGAATCTGAGAAGCTTTATGCTTGACAAGATATACAGCTCTGCACAATCAAAATCACATATTATTTATTAAAAATACGTGTAGAAATTCTCGGAACTTTCGTTGGAGGAATCTAATGAAATATTAAGTAATTTTTAAGAGGTCGATGTGAATGAAGTTTTAGATTCACGTTTACTGCAAACGCCAAACGTCAAATTGGCTTTATGCTTTGTGTCAAAATTTTAAACAAACGTAAAAAATGCTTCGAAAGGGATAGTGATGCGCTTATGCACGAAAAAGTCATCTATTTATACACAAACGCGAAAGAACGGAGCGTTAATACTGAGAAAGAGGCGGATTTGTAGTACGTATTCCATATATGGCACAAACTAACAAGTGAATAGAAGCACCTAACAAGCGAACAGGGGTCCATACTTTTTTTCACTTGTATATTTTTATACAGTTTTTTATCGACTTATTCGAGCTTTTTAGCTACTTAACTTATTAAAAAATTTTTTATCAAATTTTAACTTAGAATTATGAATTTAACATTTTATAGCCTGACCCGTCCTTTTCCCTAAACCTAACCCTTCGACTACAAATGTAAAGCGCCTAAACTAACTTGACCACGAGAGATTACGCTGGCAAACAACGAATTGTTTGTGACATTTAAAGTATTTTGCATTGCTAATAGCATCGGTAAATTGGGATTCCTTAGGGACCGCTATTCGCTTGTTAGGTGCTTCTATTCGCTTGTTAGGGGCCTCTATACGCTTGTTAGTTAATACCATATATGGAATATGTACGACAACCCTACCTGCTGAGAAACAGTGATCACGTGATCAGTTTTGAGGTTTGGCGTTTGCAGTAAACGCGTATCCAAAACTATCTATTGTCCTTATTACGACCTGCGGAAAAACTTGTGACGCAATTCATTTTGGGATTGATAAACGAGGAAACAAGTGAGCAAGATAGCAGCGTCATTAACCAGACTACCAGGCCTTCGAGGGGTCCTGGGGAGAGCATGAGGGGAAAAAAAGGAAGAGACAGCCGGATACTCGGGTTACAGAGTAATTTGTGTCTCGGGCTCAATTCTTGGCCAAATAATGGGAAATGCGAACACTTTAGTTAATCTCAGAAGTTCTTTATGAAAAAGACAAATATCACACAGTAAATGAAACAATACCTCCAAAAAATGTGCAGTCGAAACTATACTTTAGTGTTTTTACGATTTCAGCGATATTGTTTGACAGGAAGATTGGTATCCCATGATACATTAAAAAATGGCGAGCTTTCGCGCGAGTAATGATAAACAATGTCAAGTCGAGAGAAATATTGCAGAATTTATAATATGGTTGAATAAAATTGTGCAATTTGATTGGCTTACAGGAGTGGTATTTATCCTTAATAGTGGTATTTTAAATTGCACAATTTTATTCAGCCATTTAAACAAATAATAGTATGTTTTGTACGTGGAATTTGGGATAAAAACCACTCGCTTTGCTCGTGAAATTTTGTTTGACAATTTTCAAATATCACGCAAGGTATTTATCCCAAATACCACTACAAAACATGCTATTACCTATAAATATAATGGGACTTACCCATACGCCCCATTACTTATAAGCTTGATATAATCAAAATCATCCTCTGTTGGTGCAGCAACGGGTGCAGCTTGAGATGGTAGGCCTTCTTCAGTATCGAGTTGTTCAGGGGGGAGTTCACTACTGTCAGGAATCCCAAGATGCGCTTTGACATATTTGGTAATGTCTAAATCATCTTTAATGCTCTCAATTTCTCTACTCTCATTTTCTAGCATGTTGTAGAACTCCCCAGGCTTGAATTCCTGAAATGATAGCAATAATATAATTTACTTACACTACAAATAATCGTCGGGGCAGGCTCATAAAATCCATTTACACTAAAAAGAATGCTACGAAATCCGTCTCAAGCAAACGCGATAAAACTGAGATCCATCAACCACACCGCCAGCCCAGAAACTTTCTAATCACTTCCTTTCAAGCAAAAAAAGTCCAAAAACAACCCCGCTAAAGGCCTGTTTACTCTTGCGACTTTTTGCAGCTTGATAATTGAAACTTCGCTATCGTCCAACTCAAATCGTACGTGTAAACAGCCCTGCGATTGTTGCGATGATGGAAAATCGCCGTGAAGTTGCAGCCAATTTTCAAGCATGTTCGAAACTCAGACGATTGTCGCGCGACGATTGCCGCGAGAATCGCTCTGCAAAAATCGCGAGTGTAAACGCCCCTTAAAACAGAAAACCCAAAAGCTTGAACTACACACGGAAAGCCAAGCACTAGATGTTCGAAGTTCGCTTGTATGGAAAACTAGTGCACGGCTTCTCTCTGGAGTCTAGTTATTCTTACCAAACATTCCAATAATCTTGCTGGCCTGGATACAATTATAAGCAACTTTCTCATGATGGTTATTATAGGAGTCAAGTCTATATCAGTCTTTTCCTTAGACTAAAAATATACAAGAAAAAGTATGGAGAAAACAAATTAGACTTTGTTTTCAAGGGTCCACTCTACCCAATGTGTGCATGTCATTTCGAAACCAGTAGAGTGGTAGGGATGTTAAGGAAGGGAGAATATTTTAACGCATAGATTTTAGAGGGTTCTGACAGGATGAAATTGGACTGGAATTAGCTCAATTTTTTGACTGGGAAAATGGGATTTAATGCACTGGGACTGGGATTTACAAATACAACAATACAAAACCGGAAATGGGACTGAAAACTAGCAAAACCAATGGGATGAAGTGGAAAAAATAGAAATAACGAAATAAAAGAAAAATGATACACTGTGAAAAGTAGGAAATGAAAGGAAGTCTTACCTCAAAGATCAATCTATCCATGTTTTCTGATAGTTCATAAAAATATCTGCTAGTAAGAGAGTTGTCTTGAGATTGTTTGAGGACATTTCTGGCTATTTCAACTACTTGATGCCATACAAAGTTTAAGACTCCATCACAGCCAAACATACTACCATACGTTTCACTGGTATAGTTATCAATGAATTCCTGAAGGACAAAAATATGTTATAGTCAATGATAATGAAGTATTGAAGTAAAAATGAAGTCAGTACAGACAGGTAAAGGCCTGTATACATTGATGATTTATGCAGCGATTTCTGTGGTCATTTTAATCCTAGAGAATACATAACTTTTATTCAGTACAACGAGATGAACTAACTTAACGTCTCCTCAGAAGGATTAGACAAAAATCACCCGAAAATTTGCAGCAAAATCGCCGAAAAAAAATCGCCAATGTAAGGTGCATAAAAAATCCTTCCCTTGATGAAGCCAGTGTTTCAAATGAATGGCCATTGTCTTATTTGAGAACAGTTTTTCTTGCATAAAGACTTGCAAAATATGGTTAGAAAGCATGAAGAAATACTGACGTAATAGGCAATCTGCAGCGACGCCCTTTTGTACAGAAAAACATGATGGTAGTTGTAGTGCTCGTGCATACTTATTAGGGACCCTAAAATATCTCACTAAGCCGTTTTTTACATTTTCTGTGCAATGTAGAAACATTAAAACTACTTCCATTTTACTCAGAAAATGCAAAAACTGCTAAGGAGGACTTTTGTAGCTGACATAAAAAGTTACGAGGACTGCAACACCACCAAATGCTTTGCTGCACAAAATGGCGTCGCTTCACATTGCCTATTGAGGCTTATCTCAAATGGCCTGGATTTTGTCTTCTTTCAGATGAATTAATGTAAATGGGTTTAAGGTCATTGTAATGCCATTCTGTCTTTAGTGTGAGTTCTACGATTGCACAAGAGAGTATGTCCTCAAAGATGAAGCTCATTTATTTTGAAAAGGAAAATGACAAGTCATACATTCCTGAAATTGATGTACTTGTATCAACAAATCTAAACTTACATTTAATTTTTCTTCCATTTGTTGAACAGCCTGCAATAGCCAAAATTATATATTATCAATACGACATGCATCAACAAACCAATACTTATCTAATTTGTCTCTAACCTTTGGAAACCTTTCTTTATATAAGTTGTTCAATAACAGTAAATCATCTTCTTGAGCTGCAAATGACCTTGGAGGACTACAGGGAACAAATTTCACATGTTAACAATGAAACATTTAAGGAGAAAATAAGTGGAAAGACAATTAGTTAGCTGGGAAAAAGAGAGATTAAAGAGGAAGGAAGAAAAAGGGAGGAAACGGGATGAAAGGCATGACTGAATGAATGAATGGATAAACGAAATAACGTGACTAACCTGAGACTTCTTGATCGTTGTCTAGGTTTGGGTGATCTCCATCCACCATCTTCTTCCTGGTCACTTTCAGCACTAAAACAAAAACACAGATTTACTTCTTTTAAAATTATAATAATTTCTATAAAAATTGCATGAAAATTTGGAGTATTTATGGTGTTGTTGTCATCACTTTATATTCATACACAAGATTTAGTTCCATAGTAATGTTATAGTTGTTTTAAAAAAATCTGACCTACTTAATGTACAGGGTTTGAAATACCAGCCGGTCAAAGGACAATGTCCTTCCAAAATTGCTAGATGACCAGCCAAATTGGATTTTGAAAGGACCTACAGTACCACATTTTTAGACAAAAAAGCAATCTCCCCAATTTGCTAATAAATCTTTTACTAACTTCATTACATTTTTTTGCCTATTTCCTTTGAAATGAGTAAATTAACATTGATCAAAGAGTTTCTGGTTGGTTTTACACTCGCTTTAGTTGAAATTAATATGGCGATGTCCGCTGCACATTGGGAAAACAATAGCATACAGTTTTTGTCAGGCTTTCAAAATTCAACATGACCTTCCAAAAATGAATCTTGTTCTGCATATGTCCAGCCATTATTTCAAGCCCTGTTATACACTTTGAAAGAGTCAATAAATGTAGAAAGGGCATACTTTCATCTACAATGTAACAGTATATACACCCTTTTAATAAGTCCCGAGGTATTGTDTTCTCCGCACTTGACGTCAAATTCATTCTTTTGAATTCCTTTTGTATTGTAAAAATTTCAAAAGAATAAATTTGACGGCAAGTGCGGAGAACTCGATTCCTCGGGACTTATTAAAAGGGTGTATATGGACATACCTGAAACCTAGGTAGTTAAACTCATCAGGATACATTTGACCCCACTGAAAATAAAGAAAAGATGATTAACATGGTCTGCATTGAATATAAAAGTATAAAGGGTGTAAACTTTATCATGACAAAAACATATTCATCTCATCCATCTCCATACCTGATGCAGTTTTTCATGGGATGACGTCAAAGACTAAACAAAAAAAAACAAAATTCAGTCATTTATCTAATAATAGACCTTCCGCGTTGAAACTGTCACATGGTACTACTGTTTTTTAGGTTGTAATTACAGTCTTTTGCCGCCCAGTATGGCAGATTTAGTACCATGTGACAGTATATAAAAGATCTATTCATAAACAATACAATCATACTGTAATTTTAGTACATTTTTCAATCAAATATTATAAATAATTTCAGAAATGGGGCTTATTAAAGGGCTACTTGGACAAAAATTGCAAAACATTAGAAAAGACTCGGAAATCAAATAGACCTATCCATATGGGTCTAATAATCATGAAGCAATAGATTTCAAGAAGATATTGATACAAATCCTTAATAATTTGGGCAAAAAAATGTTGGAGTAAATGACGTCATTTACTCCATCCTTTTGTTCTTCCATCTTTTGAATCAAAATTTCTCTGATGTGGGATAATCCGAAAACAAATATTTTCCCACGATTGTTTTTAACAGGTATAAATGAGTCATATATTTGTATTGCTTGAAGTTTTGAAATAACATGGCATTTTCATGCAAGTTGCACTTTAAGTAAATTACTGTCATAAAATTTACATCTCATTATATTAGGTTTACAAGATAACTTACAGAATAAGAAGAGGAACATGGTGTATGTGTTCCATAACCGGACGAAGTGAGTGAAGCCACAGACCAGCGTCTACCACCACCATCAGCCCTGAAAGCAAGATAAATATTCTTCACAATAGAGCATTGTTCCGTATTACAATGTAACAGTGAAGCAACCAAAAAGAAATTTTAGTCAATGCTAAAATTATCTCTTGCGGTGCAAAAAGCAAAATGTGCTTGCTCTCTAATGAGTGACACCTGTCTTTTACTACTGTTTAAACCATACTGGTCACATCTGAATGAACAGAGCGAAATTATTCTTGTGGCTATTTCTTCAAAATGCATAAGAAATTTTAACCAATATTGTCATATTTCATTTCATAATCTCATACGGTATCTGGTGATGTCGCCCCGAAGTGATGTCGCCCCATGATCTCGCCCCCATATATAAGTGATCTCGCCCCCACTTAGTTATTGATATATATATGCAGTCGTAATGCAAAATAATATAAAAAAGTTAGCTATCGTTAACTTTTAGTTTTTCAGGCCTATATGAACAAATTTCAGTGAAATTTATTTTTCACTACGAACGACTGCGAACGAGTAGCTGAGTAAGCGGTTGAATTCGAAACAATAAAACATCACCTTGCACTTAAAACAAAGTAATATAATGTCAAATAGTTTCCAATCTAACGTATTTGGACTTGATAGTGTTTGTAGCAAACAGAGGGCNTGAATTAAGTACTTAGTTAACAACAAATAGTTAACGCGAGTCGAGTGGATCGACATTGCAGTGGTTTGCCGATGAAAATTATTTAAGTTTACCAACATATCTTAAACAAGAACTTTGACATTTCAAGAACTCCAGAACTCTTGATTAGTTTCTGCTCTAGAAAAATAGCAATAATACAATGTTATATGTGTGGGGCGAGATCACTTATATATGGGGCGAGATCACGGGGCGACATCACTTCGGGGCGACATCACTGGTATTCTCTCATACAGAGTCATACAGGCTTCTTTTCCAGTAGTAGGCTGCATTCGCATTTCAATTTATTCTCTCCAACTACTGAAGGACATACATATGTGTTTCTCATACAGAGTGTTTATGTTCCCTCATTTTGCATTTTCCATCATCCATAAGAAAAAATATATTGCGCGGTCTTGACTGATTCAACCTCAAAATACATACAAAAGATGTACAAAAGAAGTACAACAAAAGGTTCCCAAACTATTCCTCCAAGTATTAACTATGAATAGAGCTAAAAAAAGCAAAAAAACATGTACTCACTTTCGAACATTTGAGAACAGAAAATGGTTGCCATTGTTACTAGGAGGTGGGGGTTGAAAAGCTGAGGTTGTACTTTCAGTTCCTGAAAAGACAAGCAAAAAAAACCCTGATCTTTATTGCTGAATGACACCCTTGTAATTGGTTATAAGAACTTGACTATAATAAAGTTCTAAGAAAGGTAGGGAGTTGTCATCAGAGTGACACATCTTACAAACAAGACAACTCTGTTATAAATAGATTAAGGGATTATAAAGTACAATATTCAATCATTTTATAGATATGCACATGATTCTAGAAAAAAGTTGCTATATAATAGACCTAATCAGCTAACACAATGCTTGTATGTAATTCAAATCCAATGGGAAAAAGAACTTTTTTATTATTAAGAATTAAACTGTGAAATAAAAATACAACTTCAAGCATTAAAACTTACTCCCAGGTGTTTTGAATTGCGTTGAAGATGCCTTAGCAGATTATGTCTATTGTATCTGTACAGCAAGGTAGCTTACCTATAAAACTTTTTGTCTGTTTTCGTCCGCCAATGTTACAAGTACTGAGAAAAAAAAGTTGACAGTTTTGGTTATTTTTGTATAAAGAGTGTTTTTTTTTTACTGTGAATAACATTGCTATTTATAGCATTTTAATTGTTACAGATTGTTATTATTATTGTTACTATATTTACCTTAATCTCCTACTGAGGTCTCCCTAAAAAATAGCAACACAAAGTCATGGTTATTTACATTGTATGTTATTTACAGTCCAATATATAGCAGGGAGCAGATACAATATAGCATAATTTTATCACATGTTTAGTGCATTTGAACAGACTTTACACCTACTCTTAAGTTCCGAGTAATCTATTAGAGCATAATAATAGTATAGAGTGGAAAAATCCAAATTAATTAATAACATTATAGGATGGAATAATAGTATAGAGTGGAAAAAAACAAAATTTCAAGCTATTTTTTTTTGTTGCAAAATTGCCGACTTGCTCCCAGTCTACGTCGCGATCAAATCCGCTGACCAGATGATTTGCAGTCTTAGTTTGCTGTTCGCTCGTATTTTGTTTTCATTTTGGAGACAAAATGTTCGTCTTTTGGGTGACTTTTTCATAACTTTTTTTCAGATTTTGTTAATAACTAATTAAGGTAAGAACAGAGAAAAAACCCTGAAAATTAATAAACGTACAGTCCTGAATAAGGCCGTATAGAGTGGAATATTTTGCCAGAATAAATAAGCGTACATGTACGATTATTTGGAACTTAAGAGTATTTATAGCGATGCTCAATGTGACGTAAGCCTTTGTTATTCATGTGTCAAAGAAGACGATTGGCTGTTAGAACAAAGCGACTTGTGAAAAGCCATTCTGATCATGGTTGGCACATTAACATAAGAATGACTTTGTGAAGATAAACAATGAGCATTGCTATACTGTAATAACACAATAATCAACCATAGAGTGCTCGCACTTAAAGTGTGAAACAAATAGTACTAATTACTACTAAATAGTGTTGATTATACAATAGGAAACAAAGGAATTTGTATAATTTATCACCTATTTTGTAGTATTTATTTCACACATTTAGTGTGAGCACTCTACTTAAACTTAATAATATACTCATCTAAATGATAACTGAATAGATCATTATAATATAGCATGAATGGGCAGATGTTTGTCCATGAAGCAAAACAAAAGCTTCACAAAAAAAATTGACTTGTCAAGCAGATAATTTTACTGGACGTTATCTATTGACTTGAACTAATTTTGCCCTGAATATCACAAGAATTAGAGAGCAAACGCTGCATTACAAAATACTATTCAAATAGTGCAAAAAATGTGCAGTATAATGTAGATTAGACAATAGAAAACAAAGGAATTCACAAAATTCATCAGTACAATATCTAAAACTATTTTATTAGATTATTAGTTTTTTCATATGGTTTTAGTGTTTGTACTCCAAGTTATTCACCAGATGATAATTATTTAACAAATACAAAAAAAGTACATATTTTGTCAATTATAATAATCCTGTAGTATATGAATTATAACACAATTATTTACTATATTTAATGAAATGTCACAGCAATGAAAGTAAGATTTAATACTGTGCATAATAAATTAAGTACTGGTATTCGAAAATTCACAAACAATATATCCATGCAACATTAAATTAAAATTATACTGAAATTTAGTGAAAATAGTCGAAGCATTCATATACTAACTTTAGTATGCATGTGCAATTAGTTGAGCATCGCCTTACAGTACAATATGCTTTCAAGGTCCAGTAACCACACTAAGTTAATCATAAAAAAAGAAATTCTGAACAAATTAATCATAGAATTTTATAGTAAAATTTAGCAAAATTTAGTAAAAATTAGTTTTTTGAAAGAATTGCATGTTGGATATATTGCTTGCAATCTTTCCAAAAGAATTTGTTCTGATAATAAAAAAACATTGTTTAATATATAGATACCTATATAAGTGGCCTTTATTAGCATTCATGCCTATCCTTTTTCCATGTTAATTCAATATTTTCAATACTTGACATTTTGAAGTAAATTCAGCTATTTTATAAATAAACTGGATATTACTTAAGAGTATCCATACCTGTACTTTTTCCATATTAATTTGTATTTTCAACACTTGACATCTTGCAGTATGGTATAAACTCATTCAAAATTCAAGTTTATACACAAGAGGCAAGTGTATACTGCAATAGCACTGTCTCATATACACAGGTGAGCGCCTTTCATAACATAATTATGTTTGTCAGTTGGCATATATAATAAACATTTACTATTAAATTGCATTCAACCAAATGATAAAAAATAATAAACAAGTCTAGAAAACAAAGCAATTTGTACAAATTTGTGCTTCATATTTGTTGGTGATTGAATTAAGCTACAAAAGTCTATCTTTTGAGACAAAAATAGATAAAATAAATAAAACTCTAAATGTAATGACCACTTGGTTATATATATGGGTCTCAAAAACCTAAAAACAGAGACATAAAAATAAGAAAAAACAATTCAATTAAATGTTCTGGATAAACTTGTGCTTCATTTCATAATGTTAGCTCTATCTAGTAGCACAAAATCCATGTTCTAGAGGAAAAACTGTCAAAAAAACTCAATAATAAACACAAACACATACAGAAATACTGTACATAACAATAGATGTCATATTACTATTCAGAAAAGAGACAAAGTGTGTAATATTCAAACCTTGCATTCACACATACTTCACAAAGGATCATAAAAAATCCATCTGATATCAGAACAAAATATTGGTCTATATTTGAACGGTAGGGATCTAATAATACTAGTGTGGGGACGTCTTTATGAAAACCACCTTTTGTGATAAAACACAGCAGCTATATATCATCAAGCAGGATAAAAGATCACTTGCAATAATTACATAGATTGGAAAACATTTCTCAAGGCTATAAAATAGAATGAAACCAGGTATAGAAGCTGATTAAGTAAGCGTATTGTACTTAGTCTATGTACTATGCTAATAATGTTTTTCAAGTCTACAAGATTTCCTATAGATTTGAACTTAGGCTTTGGTCATGAAAACATTCAATAAATTATTGTTCATTCACCAAGACATCGAAGACGTCAGAGGGTGGAAACCATTTGTCATAATAAATGGCTTCTCATTTAACTACATACTAGACATTTTTAAAAGATTATCTTTAAATTAAAAGGTAATCAAATTGAGAAAGATGTGCATTTTGCATTGTTTACAGTTTTTCAGCATAAAACCTTTTGTAAATATTTTCACATTTTATAGAAATCATATTAATTAACATTTATAATTTGTATTTTTCATTGCAGAAGTCAAGATCAGTGATCTAGAACCTATTTTTGGTACAATATTGAAGTTAAAAGTATATTGGGCAACACTTTAAATTCAGCTGGTACCTTTTAGATTCACCTGACTCTATCAATGATCAAATTAATCAAAGACAAAAATAACATGGAATATGTGCAGTCTATACAATCATGTATCTTTTCTGTCTTCTTGTTCAAAAATTCTCGAAAGCAGAAGTTAGTGTTTTTGTAATTAGTAAGTTCACAAATAGCATTCCCACCCTTTCTGAAAGACCAACACCCTGCCTGCCCTGCCAATGGTCTTTGCTGCATATTATAAATAAATTACACGTCACACCTTTTAAAATTGCATAAGCATTGTGTGAGGGCACAAGGAACGTGACTTGAACTTTTCTATTTATTGCCTAATTTTACACTATATTGCACTCTTTGGTTGGTACTCCTCAAAAAAAACATGAAAAAGATTTTATAATTAGATGGTGCTTAACTCTATGGGTTATGTGAATTCCTTAGTTTTCTATAATATTATAATCTAGTCTACATTATATTGCGCTACAGTGTATTTAGCACTATTTGGTAAGTACTTTTTACGTTTTTTACACTCTAACCAAAGAAAAAAAATTATAATATTGTTGTAATAAAAAATTGTTATTACTTGTTTTTCACATTTAATTGACTAGTATTGAGTGGCAAAAACAATTTAACTTCCTCACAACATCACTGTGTAGTACATGTGCATCAAGAATGCTGAGTCAGCCTCAGGCATGTTACTATTTGCTACAGGAAACATTGAAATAGAGGGGAGCAGGTTCTTAATAAGGTCTATACTGATTTAGACTACAGCAAATGGTTATATCAGATTTAACCCTTGTTTCCTCTGTCACCCTGCAGTGGTATCACTAGTTTCATTTTTTCAATACAGGTAGAGATAAGAACCATTGACAGGTGAAAACCACAGACTAAGCGTCTGGAAATAACTTCACATGAAACAGCAGTAATACATGTAAATAGAATACTCCAGTTTTGAATTCCCCAATGCTCTGTGTTAGCCTCATTTGTGTGCACAGTATTCCTAATTATGAGCATAAAAGTGTAAGATTTCAAAGAAACTTTATTGTCTTTCTTCATAAATTCCATGCGTTTTTTCAGGCAATCAATGAAACAAAAGAATAGGTTGCTTAGTTTTGAGGCTAACACAGAGCAAACCAGAACTCAAAATTGGAGTATTTTGCATGCTGTTTAATCCATTCAATTTATAATATCAAGTATATCGTTTTTGAACATGATGTTTTTTACTATGCTTTTAATAATAAATAAATGACAAAACATTTGGACAAATTCTATAAATTCCACTGAAAGGGAGACTGTTTTAGTCTCATGTACTATGTTCTCTAATAAGCTCTGAGCTGTGCTATTCAAAGCCTTAAAGACATTCAATATCTGCAAGATGAAGATTCCTTTTAGGGTGTCTAAGAGTTTAATGGAGTGTCATAATCTTAGCTGACATATGTACCCTTTAGGGAGTTTATTTTCTCAGCATCTGTAATTAATAACTGGAGCTGACAAGAAATACAACGCACTCAGTAAACGTGTTTAAATACAGTTATAAATAGATGGTAGCAATTCGTCATTTTAATTGATTTAAAACTTTAGCCATTTGATTTTGGCTATTTAACTCAGTTAACAAATGGATCCCTGATTTCTTGAATACTGTTATCGAAAATATGCAAAATACTAATAATTTGAGTTGGTAATTTTAATCAGATATTACCCTGTCCACCTGGATAATATTTTAGCTGTTTTGGGTTAATTCTGCAGCCCCACCCCATCAGATATATCTATATCATGAGAACAAATTTTACACCTAAAAAAAAACTATAAATAGAACATCGAGCAAAAATCAGTAGCCTGATGATCACACAAGTTGAGTGAAACTCAAGTAGTTTATAGTCCTTGTAATTTTACATTATATATCAGCGCTTGAAATAATGGCCGGTCAAAGGACAATGTCCTTCCATATTTGCTAGATGACTGGCCAAATCGGGTTTTGAAAGGACAAATTGACCTGCCACATTTTGAGGCAAATCAATTCTCAATTCGCTAAATAAATCTTTTCCAAGCCATTAAAATGCTTACCGATCTTTCTGAATACAAAAACCTAATATGATTAAAAGAAAATAATATTATAGTATAATAAAGTTTTTGTTCTTTCAAAACTCGACATGACCTTCCAAAAATTAAATTGGAAGGACATCTTGACCTGCATACGTCTTGCCGTTATTTCGATCCCTGCATATGTATATATCACATATATATAAAAAATTTCATCAAAAAAACTAAAAAAAAGCTCAACCACAACATAAAAGCCAGAGCTGTATAAAATAGAAGATTAGGTATTTTGAATACCGTATTTACCCATGTATAAGCCACATTTTTTTCCAAAAAAATAATTCCCAAATCGGGGGTGCGGCTTATCTACGAGAGGACTCGTAAAAATCCCTATAAAAACTAATTTGCATAAATTAGCATTCACGGTGCTACTTACTTACTGCAGACCGGACGGTGATCGAAAAGAAATTTTAATCCAAACTTCTCAGTATTACTATAAATTCTCCGAAAATCTAGCTCTGAGAAACATCAGTCAATAATTCACTGAAAAGTGTGTGGTTATTGAGCCAATGAACAGAGAGCATTTTGAATCRTTTTGTCTTGRAGTTGTTGTGGTAACGCGATGCTAATTTGGATCACRGAAATCGAGCAGCGGAAAAGCACTTTAAAATCAAAGAAAGCTGTGTTCGCAAGTGGCGATCAAAAAGAGAAAAGTTTGTTTTCTGTCTTTTTCCCCTCAAAAACGCCCCTAAAACTCGGGGTGCGGCTTATCTACGAGAGCGTCTTATACATGGGTAAATACGGTAACACTTCACACAAAGATACCCTGTACAACATGCTGTTTATCATAATTATTATGTTCAGAAAAAAAATGTTTGGTACTAAAAAAAATAATATAAGAGATTATGAAAACACAAAGTGTGTAGCTTTTAAAAATTAAATATATATTAATTTCAAACAACAGAAAACAATAGAGTGCAAAACACTAAAAACATAAAAAAGAACTAAATTACAGTAACTACTGCTAAAGACAAAGGAATTTACATAATTTGTTACAATTTAATAGCACTAATTACTAAATTTTTTTTGTGGTTTTGAAATTGTGAAAAAGGAAATAGCACAATTTCACAATATAGAGTAGATTAACCATGACAATAGATTTTAACAAAGAAATTCACCATTAAGCACTTCAGTTGATTACTTTTTTGTCACGGTTTTAATGTTTGTGCTGTGCTGTAGGTAATTAGATTGGAAGCATTTAGTGGTGTTATGTTTAAAAATTTGTGTTTTTACTCTGTAATACTTATACATGTACTGTACATGTGAATACGATGGTGAGAGTATGTTAAAAAAAAGACACCTTGTACCTCAATTTGTATTAGTGTTAACAATAATGCTATAAATAATTCATTATTGTATTGTATGTACATGTATGTAGGTTAGATATTACCAACAGATACAACCGGAATTAAATTTCTTATATTCTAATTTATCTAGTTTTGTTTGTGTCAATGTATTTGAAAACAGGTGTTACTTTTCCAAAAAAAAATAATAGAAAAAACAGTGTTTCATCTGAGTTGCAGTAATATATATGAAAGAGGACAAAAGATAAAGGACAAAAGGAAACCAATTAATTTTTAAAATTAATTTTAGTTATTATTACTTGGGGTATAGGTTGTATGTCATATTATTCAAGCAAGACAAATTAGCAAAAATAAGGAGCGGACACTTTAATGCATATTTGCACAGATTATTTTAGTTGCTGACAATATAATATGCCAAATACAGGTGAATATTGTAAGAACATTGCCATATAAAATATTTAAAATAAACTTAAAAAATAAACATTGACAACAGGAATTCATGAATTAAGAGACTCACATTTAGATTTAAAATTTCTATATTTTGTAATTTTTGTTTACTACTGGTAATATTTTATTTTAACATAACAAGGTTTTTATAATTAAGTGAGCGTGTATAATATTATCAAAATTAATACAGATAAAAGGCTATCAATTTTCAAAAAACGGAATAAAATTAAAATACATTCTCTTAAGAACAATCAATTTGAATTGCTCTTGTCTTTAAAGAACTACGTCTATTCAGGAGTACTTAGTCTAATGGATATTTGTCTCAAACAAAAACACCTATTTTTAAAAAACTATGGTTTCTTGAAAAAATTTCAGGTTGCTTTTAATCATAACCTATACACTGTATACCACCACCTCATACTGGCATTTTAGTTGTAAATCTGAGATACTGTATCCGTATAATCAAGCAAATAATGTCATTGTATAGTACAATATCATACTACATTTGTGACTGATAGACCTACTGTACAGTAAGACAATAACTGCTTTTCTCTGGGGCAGTATACAAGGAATTCTTTTATATTCTTACCATTTAGTGAACGAGCCAATTTCTCACTTTATCAGTTTGCTTTTTAAGAAGCTTGCTCTCGACATCACTTTTGCTCAAATTACGATGTAAGTGATATGTCAAGCAAAGGGTTCATGTAATGTTTATTCATATCAAAACATGTACAATGCATTGTACTTATAAATATGGCTTTACAAAAGTAATTTATACAAGAATACATAATGTTTGTTAATTCACTTTCAGAATATTACATCAGAATTAACATTTCAGAATATTTATGAAATAACAAGAAATTATGAATGATAAAATTGTAATATACTATGATCAATAATAAAATATCTTTAATATACGTTTATGATAAATAATGGTAAACATTATGATGACAATTAAGCATTATTAATAATAATAATTGATAATGATAATCATCATGGCATGCACATCCATTTAAGATAACTAAATTGCTAATAACAATGATTATCAATAATTCATTTGGACAAATACACAGCTCAATATTCCGGAATTATGATCGCATGTCAAGTATATATAAATATATCAGAAATTATGAAATATCATCGCTAATATTTTTTGAAGTTGCCTGAAAAAAATATTGGCGATGAAATCCCATAATTTCTGAATGATATATTTTATATACACCTACTTGCAGAAACGTTGTCATAGAAAATAGGACATTCGAATTTAGTAAAAAGGAATAAATTAAAACAAAACAAAAGAAAGCGTTCAGCCTCAGTGATCTTCTTTTGTCTTTTTAATTTATTTCTTTTTCCTAAAATACAAATGTCCTATTTTTTATGACAACGTTTTCGCAAGTATGTGTACTTATAAAACTTATTAATAATGCATAAGCTATTGCTCCAATAAGGGCTGRSCATTTAAWCAGGTGATTGACCTTGTAAATCTGATACAACCACTAGTGGTTGTATCAGATTTACAACACGGTCGTCACCATTGAGACAACCCAACACTAGCAGGTCTCAGTTTTAGTGTCGCATCATAGACCTTCACTAGGTTTTGAAGCAATCAAAGACGGATAACAGAACTCGCTTATGCAACAGATGGCTTGCTTTCCATGTGGGATGGATAATTATTCAAAATGTTCTGTGTTGCAGTAAATTGCGCATGCTTAATAGGGACTAAACTCAGCAGTTACCTTATTTGTCATTTTTCGTCATTTATCTCACTGTAATTCATGTTAATTTGTGTTGGAGTTTTATAAGTCGTTTACAACATTCGCGTCCGTGTTGTATGGGAATTACAATCTCTCGCCTGCGGCTCGAGATTGTAATTCCCATACAACACGGCCGCTCATGTTGTAAACTATACATACAATATGTACATGTACTTGGATTATGAGTCGAAATGATCGAATAATTTCTACATATTGCTGTATTCAATCAATATACAGCCTTTTGCAAAAATTATGAGAATTGTTGAAATATCTAAATATCATAATATCAAGTGCATGATCCCGCGCGATGCCCTTAGTCACTTGTCTTTGTTGTTTAGTTTTTTTGGCGACGGAATTATCCGTAGTTCTGAACATTTTCATGTCAACAATGAATTATTCTAGCAAACCCGCGTGTTCCGGACAATATATGGATATGGATATTATGATATTTAGATATTTAAACAATTCTAATAATTTTTGCAAAAGGCTGTACATTAGTTATTATGATATACAGAAGTAAATCTATACTTACACAGCTTCCTGACAAGTTGGGTTCCGAGTTGCCAAGTGATGGATTTGCTCTCATCCGCACTAGATTTGATGTCTCCTCGTAACGTGAATGTTGATGGTACCCTCCATCTCGAAATCGTCCTCCAAAATCATCGGAAAGCCTATTCTGCCTGAATCGGAAGTCCTTTGGTAGAGTAGATGAGACAAAAACATCAGATTGAGACCCAGCACTCAATTGAAGCCCAAGTTCAATGTCAGACTAGGATAGAGAGTATTAGTAGTTATTAGAGTTTATTAGTGAAGCATGCAAATTTGCCTTTATTAATTGAAAATAAATAATACGTCAGTGTATTATTGCATTAGAAATAATTTTATTTATTCACATTTCTTTATTTTCTGCTGTAATCAGATGATAAGTTAGTGTATTATTCTTGAAACAATTTTATAATTCTATTATTATAAAAGAATATTTCTGTGGATTAGTTTTGTAGATGATTTTAGGAAAATTTTAAGATAAACTAAATTAAACATTTGCATGTTATATCATCATCAGTAAGTAGAAACTTTGAAGAAAGGTTGATTGACTTTTATGAAAATTTATGTCAACACTTGCACCCACATATACTTAAAGAAATAGACATTTGTTTGCAAACACTTAGAATAATTAAGAAGATCTACTGTCACATACTGAATGGAATCTTAAATACAAAGCAACCCAGCAAAATGAGGTTAATAAAGAATGAAGAAAAACCACAGAAAATTAATGAGTGTGAAATTTTAACACTTGTTAACTTTTTCAATTCACCTCAAGTGGCTTGAGAGGCTCCAGAAACCAAATTATTAAAATGCCAGACAAAACAAAAATCTGCACACTAATGGTGAACAATGTCCGCAATCTTAATTGATATATAGCTACCTATACAGCCTTTTGCACAAATTATGAGACATTTTTATATATATAAATATACAGCCTTTTGCAAAAATTATGAGAATTGTCTAAATATCTAAATATCATAATATCCATATCCATATATTGTCCGGAACACGCGGGTTTGCTAGTAAGAATAATTCATTGTTGACATCGAGAAAATGTTCAGAACTACGGATAAGTCTGTCTCCAAAAAAAAAAAACTAAACTACAAAGACAAGGGACTAAGGGCATTGCTCGAGATAACACATCATGCACTCGATATTATGATATTTATATATTTCAACAATTCTCACAATTTTTGCAAAAGGCTGTACCTAACCAAATACAGCTATTTGCAATAATTCTGACCCCCCTACACTAATATTCATATATATCAAAGTAGCCTTAGAAATTATGGGATACCAATGCTGATATTTTTTTGAGAAAGTACTCATTCTGGGCAACTCAAAAAATATATCAGTCATGATATCCCATAATATTTAAGGTCAGTTTGATATATATGAAATATGGCAGAGGGGGTCAGAATTATTGCAAACAGCTGTATCAAAAACACCCCAGAAATTATGGTATATCTCTATTATATTTTGTCATGATTGCCTAGCATCAGGTTGTTACAGACAAAATATCAGCGACGGTATCCCATAATTTCTTGGGTGTTTTTGATATTTGGTTAGGTATATTTATATATATAAAAATGTCTCATAATTTGTGCAAAAGGCTGTACTGACACATGCAGTGTAGATATTTAATAACAGTTAAGGTATGATATGTGTACCATACAGTACAAAATGCTTCTACCAAACATTTTCTCTTGAAGACTTCCTAAGAAGATTTTTATTTAGCTGTGCTTTTTAAATGTCTGCACTTAAATAAGTAAAAGCTATTTCATTTTTTTTTAAGTTTCCTACTTACACTTAAACATAATAGAAAAGGAAGTGGAAAATAGACAAAAGCTGATAAAAACGAGAGAATATTACATGTAGATATATATTAAGTATTTTACTACCTCTGAAATTACATGTAGAAGTACTCTGTTGAAATTTTGAAAAAATAAAACACTTCTTTTTTATTGTAAATTTTCTAACTTTGCAGTTCTGTTCCTTCACAAATTACTCAATTTCAGTGGTAGAAAATATTTTTATAAGCAAATTGATTTTGAATTTAGGACTACATTCAGTCAATCTACATTTTAAGAAATGAATGCAACTTTGAAGTTGACTAATGTTAAAAATAAAACCAGGTGGTGATTAGGAAAAATACAGCAACAAAAACAAACAAACAAAACCAAAAACTAACAGAAAACTCCAGAGTTTTGGTAAATCACTTCTATGGAAATCAAAGATATKTGCTGTAATAATTTAATATTAGCATACATGTACTTGTTCATAAATAATATGCATATTGTGGTTTAAGAGAAAGGGTGTGATATGCTAAATAGACTGAAAATGTGAACAATCAACAGATTATACTGATATTATGTGGTGGTCAAGTCACATTTAGAGCTTCCAGCAATGTAAGTCCACAATATTACAGTCTTAAATGTAATCACTTTAGTTGACCTTACAAAAACACACCATAACATTCTATGTGTCAGAGCAAAGAAAATTTACATTCACATTCACAAATCACTTGATTTGATTGAGTTAAATCATGAATTTTGTAAGACCATTGGTAAAGGTAAACAAAACTGGGGCTTTTACCTATTTAAGACAACATGATGCAAATGTTACACATGTACCTTTAGCTTGAGAAAAAAAAAAACAAGGAAAAATATTCTACCTTGTTTTAGCACATACAGCACCAACAAGTCTACATTTCAATAAGCCTTGCAGACAGTGAGGATTTTTTGTGAAGAACACTTTCACTTTTCCCACGATTTAATTCACTGTCTGGTGAGACTTCAAGCAATGAAAACAGGATGACTGTCTGCCAATCAGCTTGAAGTATAATAATGACTCGTATCTCTTGAATAGATATAGGGCTTTTAAAAAAATGGTAGGAAAACATTATTCAATTCCTTGGTACACAAATAATATAACCCGTATTTTATGCCTGGGAGGAGAAGGAAAAAAAAGGAATTATATCTCTTCCGTTTATATAAGCCCTACAGCAAACAGCTCACTATTAACTGTCTACATCAAAAAAAAAAAAAAAAATGCAAATGAGCTGAACTGGAGACAAAATGGATTAGTCACTATATTATTTCGGTGCACTGGATATTCACACTTGGATAGCCAAGAAGAATAGAGCCATTGTCTCACGTTAATAATAAGTGTTTATACGCACCGTTCAAGAAAAAATATACCAATATTTACCTTAAACTGCTAAAACTCGGTATGAATAGACTACTTAATTCGCTTTACAAATCAGTATGAAACAACCCAAAACTAGAATTGAATGTTAAATATTCAACGCACAGTTGAGAAAGCTTTCGTGACGGAGATTGGTTGTAAGCACTTAAAAAAGATTAAAGATAAGTTTATGGAAAAGTGAAATTTTCGCAACATTAGGTAAAAGATGTATTAAACATTACATTCATCGATCAAATACCTATCTTCAGATTATTATGTTAGCTTTGTTAAAATCTGTTAGCGTTAGTTAGAAGTTAGTTAATGCCACTTTAAGGAGAGCGAACGGATAGTAATTTTTCTCACCTCATGGTCTTCGTTGTCAGAGTTATCATCTTCTCGACACTTTATCACGGCTTTCATAATTTCAAGACGGAGTTTAGAATCTTTGATTTGAAAGTCATGCTMTAGGTCATCGTCTGTCAAAGTTTTGAAGTAGTCCAAGGAGATGTAGCTGGGGAAGATTTCATCTAAATGGTCCAAAGATTCCTTCTCAAGATATGTTCGAAGAGCGGTCCTGTCTTCGCTGAAGGAGCCATCACGATCCTTTTCAAACCCATCTGAGGACTCCATAGCCGTTTTTACCCTTCCCTATACTATTTCATTGAAAGTAAGCATTTGAAACCCAATAGTCCAAGCGAAATTGAGCTATTTTCGTGTCTTCGTTTCGACATCTTCGAAATAAACACCAGAGCAGACCTCACTCAACAAAGCCAAGCACTGTCACATTTTAGCATATATCTGCCAGTTTGAAGCGTAACAACCATTGAAATCTTAACCATACCAACAAGGAAGTCTTATAAATAAATATATATAGGTTTGGCGTGACGTTTTAGCATTTTTCCGAGATAAATGCCACAATATTTTTCCAAAACTCTTATCCGTGCACAGTACCGTCAGCATGGAACCTTGATGACCGCCGCACTGACCGCGCACATCTTAATGAACAATACCGCATCTCTATGGCCAGTTAAGTTGCAAATTGCTATTTTTCTTTCAATTTTTTGTTATTTTGTATATTCCTCATGTATTCTTTCCTTAGTATTTCATTTTCTGTCTTTCCAGCTTTATTTAGCCTGGATTGAATCCTGAATTTTGACTTTTCAACTACTCCGAAAGCAACAATGCTAAGATATTGGGCACTGTTTTTTTTCTTTTCAATTAATTCATTCCATCTCTTCTAATTTCGTTCATCCGAATTGTCTTTGGTCGTTTTCGATCTTACAGCGTTCTTTGGATTTGATTTTTTTTTTCTCCTTCAGTTTTTCTCCTTCTTCTTTCATTTCATTCATCCAAAATAAGATATTTAGCCGATGATCGATTTTATATTTTTCCGGAAGCTCTGACGATATTGCCCTAGCAACACTAAACAGCATTAATTATATAATAGCGTGAAAGAGGAATATTTTCAAGTACTGATCAATTCAATGATATTTTTATGACKCAGGATGTCATCGAAACTCTCCAGGCCTGCCGTTCCTGAGAATCCGACTTCACGTACACACTCACTTCACACCAAAAACAAAAGTATTCGTTTATTTTTCAATTGCAATTTTCATCGATTAGAAAATATTGCACTTGTGATTCCAGGTTGCCTTCTCAAGCTGACTTACGAGTCCTTCGCATGCGTCTTATTTCTTATGAAAATATTACACCAAAAAAAATTATATCGGTCTCAATGCCATATCAAACAATCGGTGTCAAAGCTCTCTTTCCCGGCCTTTAAAAAATGGACTGGGGAAGAGCTTAGCGGCCAGGTCAAATGGTTTTTCCCTTCGACAAGATGGCGGTCAGGTTTTGAAGTTCGTGTAGTATGTGATGCATTTTTTCTTGTTTTTTGCCTGCAAAGAATTTTTTTTTTCTCTCGAAAATCCGCATATAGGTAAAAAAAGTATGGTAAGTATGTTTTGAGCTTGAGAATCAACAGTTATCAAGTTTTTTCTGCAAATAACAATGGATAAAAGATCTGAAAAGTCGACCTCCACTTCTGTACATCTTGTATTCCTTTGCGAGAAGAAGAAAAAAGAAAGATAAGTATACATTTTCCGTTTGTAATACTATATATGTGTATTTTCCCGCCTATTTCATCATAATTTCGTTAAATTAGGCGGCATTTTTAAGCGGGATTTGGTCAGTTTGGACAAGATGGCCGATGTGTGCACAACTCAGTCAGCGTTTCTATCGCATTTCTTCGTCGGGCCACCTAATAAGATCCCTAAACTGGCCAATTTTCAGCAAGAAGTTTCACTTGAAACTCCAAATGAAAGAATTGTCAAAGAGCTCAGTGATTTACAAAGATCTGAGGCAAAACTTGCCCGCGAAATCGAAGTTCTTAGAAGAAATCTTGCAGCAGCTAAAAAGCTCAATCATGAGCTCCAAAATGAATTGAAAAAAGAACGAAAACCGTTCTTTAATAGTAAAAAGAGCTTTTCAGATCTAAATTCAAAAACTAAAAGCCACAAAAAGCAAAGAGTAAAAATTTGGCTAAAAAAACAATTCAAGAAGCTTCCTTCCGAATGGAAAGTGAGAGAGGTTTGTACCTAATATTATTATTATTTATTCTTTATGGCAACTTAACTTTGTCATAATTTATTATTCGTCAGATGCATGTATTCATAGACAATGAGTTTCAAAGGCTTGATAACTTTGGAGTAGATGATGAAGAGGAGGAGGAGGAGGAAGAAGAAAATCCTGATATCACTCTAAGGATTCAAAAGGCACTAAAGGTTAATATACTTTGCACAGAAAACATTGTTTTCCTGTAACCAAGTAATTCTTGTAATGTCTTGAAGTAATGTTTAAGCAAATACTGTACATCAATGACAAATAATGTACACATGACTGAAGGATATGGTATATTTAATGATTTTAAATAATATGTGTAACGTGTAATAACTTAATTCTTTTTAGGCTAAAGATGATGGGGACATAAGCGATGTAGCTTATAATGA